CAGCAACTCCACTCTTAGGCATATATCCAAAAGATGCCCATTCATACAACAAAGAGGTCTGTTCCACTATGTTCATAGCAGCTTTATTTGTAATTGCCAGAACGTGGAAGCAACCTAGATGTCCCTCACCTGAAGAGTGGATAGAGAAAATGTGGTACATCTACACAATGGAGTACTATTCAGCAGAAAAAATAATGGAATCATGAGATTCGCAGGCAAATGGATGACACTAGAAGAAACCATCCTGAGTGAGGTAACCCAGTCACAAAAAGAGAAACATGGCATGTACTCTCTCATATATGGATTTTAGACATAGATCTGGGGAGTGCCAGCCTACAATCCTATGGCCAGAGAGTCTGGGAAACAGAAACTTTATTTAGTGGTTGATCGAAGAAGAGGCAGACTCCCTTGGTTAAGTACTGAGCTGAACTCAAGAAAGCCAGTAACAGAGAGGGAGGACTGATGATCAAAGGGATTAAGACTGGGCTGGTTTAACCCCCAGAAACAGCTGACCAGACAAAGGTTAACTTCTTGAATCCCAGGCATTAGCCTGGGAAGCCAGCATGGGACTGATCAAGACCCCCTGAATCTGGGTGTCAGTGAAGAGGCCTAGGGAATCTATTGAGCCTTGGGCAGCAGATCAGTACCCATCCCAAGTATACACACGGACTTTCGACTCCAATAGAACAATGTGAGGTGCACTCTCACCCAGAACTCTTGGGAAAGGGTCTAGGCCCTGCCCTATATGAAATGACACACTATGGACACCCCCATGGAGGGCCTCACCCTCCCTGGGGAAATGAGGGGATAACGGGGGGGGGGGTTCTGGAGGAAGGGAGGGAATGGGAGAGGGACCTGGAACTGACTTGTGAAGCAACCTTGATTCTTATCTAAATTTAAACTGGAAAATAAAATTAAAAAAAAGAAAATAATAACTCACAAAGCAAAAGAATAATTAGATCTTTAAAGGCAAGGTCAGCACCCACAGAGAAATGGATCCAAAATACACTCAATATTGGATGTTATAACAATGATTGATAATAATTGGATAAGACAGACGATTTCCAACGGCTTTAATTATGGCAAACAAGGTTACCTAAAAAGGTTTTTGAGACAAGTTATTCCTAGAAGAAATGTTTCTTCCAATCTAAACAGAAGTCTCTTTCCTTCTGGATTATGGAGGAAGTGTGGCTAGGCAGATATTAGAACACTAAATGTAGATAAACAAGGGACAGAGAAGGTCACTTTTTGCCATCAGGAAATGCCATGGGGTGGCCTCTCAGAGGCCCTCATATCAAATTCGTTCAATCATTATCTGTCACCATGTAGGAAAATCTTCACCAGAGCAATTAAAGGACCTCATGCCTATTGGAAAAAAAACATATTGCTCTGGATGATAGAAGAGTTGTAGAACATAATATAAAATTTTCAGGAGAAACAAGAGCAAAAGAGACTTCTTGGATAAAAAAGGTGATAGTTACTCAAACAGCATGACCTTTCAATCTAAACAAATTTATACAACTAACAAATTGTTTTCATTTGATCAGATATAATTGCCAACAGGGAACCCCCACCCAAACAAGTCAGGGTTGGGTAGGTTTTTGTTTCAATCTTTTCATGAGAATCTGAAGGCACCCAGCTAAATTTAAATTAGAAACGAGGTTGCTTCACATGTCAATTCCAGGTCCCTCTCCCTTTCCCTCCCCTCCTCCTGTGCCCTCCACCAACCCCCCAATATCCCCTCATTTCCCCAGGGATGTTGAGGCTCTCCATGGGGGTGTCCATAATCTGTCATTTCATCCAGGCCAGGGCCTAGACCCTTGCCCAAGATTTCAGGGTGAGTTCATCTCTCATTGTTGGAAGGGAGTCCAAAGTCCATGTGTATACCCGGGATAAATACTGACCTACTACCCAAGGCTGATAGATTACCCAGGCCTCCTCACTGATACCCACATTCAAGGGGTCTTGATCAGTCATTTTCTGGATTCCCAGCCATCAGTCTGGGATTCAAGAGCTAACCCTTGTCAGGTCAGCTGTTTCTGGGGGTTAAACAAGCCCAGTCTTAACCCCTTTGGTCATCAGTCCTCCCTCTCTGTCACTGGATTTCTTGAGTTCAGCTCAGTGCTTAGCCAGGGGAGTCTGCCTCTGCTTCCAGCAGCCACTGAGTGAAAGTTCTGTTTCCCACATTTTCTTGTCATTGGATTGTAGGCTGGCATTTCCCAGATCTATGTCTAAAATCCATATATGAGAGAGTACATGCCATGTTTGTCTTTGTGACTGGGTTACCTCGCTCAGGATGGTTTCTTCTAGTGCCATCCATTTGTCTGCAAATCTCAGGATTCCATTCCTTTTTCTGTTGAATAGTACTCCATTGTGTAAATGTACCACATTTTCTCTATCTGCTCTTCGGCTGAGGGGCATCTAGGTTGCTTCCAAGTTTGGCTATTACAAATAATGCTGCTATGAATGTAGTAGAACAGACATCCTTGTTGTATGAATGGGCGTCTTTTAGATATATGCCTAAGAGTGTAGTTGCTAGGTCTTGTAGTAGGTTTATTCCAATTTTTCTGAGGAATCTCCATACTGATTTCCAAAGTGGCTACACAAGTTGGCACTCCCACCAGCAGTGAAGGAGTGTTCCCCTTTCACCACAACCTCTCCAGCATAAATTGTCTTGTCGTTGATGTTTTTGATTTTAGCCATTCTGACAGGAGTGACATGGTATCTCAGAGTTGTTTTGATTTGCATTTCCCGGATGGCTAAGTATGTTGAGCACTTTCTTAAGTGTTTCTCAGCCATTTTAGACTCCTCTATTGAGAATTCCCTGTTTAGTTCTGTAGCCCACTTTTTAATTGGATCCTTTGGTGTTTTGGAGACTTGCTTCTTGAGTTCTTTTGTAAATTTTGGAGATCAGCACTCTGTCAGATGTGGGGTTCAGTGAATATTTTTTCCATTCTGTGGGCTGCCTTTTTGTCTTAATACCACTGAAAAAATGAGACATGTGAATAAAAAGGATAAATCATCCAAAGAAAATGTTTCAAGAAAAAGTGTAAACTAGCATATTGATATATCACATCTCCAACAGAGAGATATCATAAATCTACCCAAACGTTTGTTTCCCCTGTACTCTGTAAATGGTCTTCTTATACTCCAAGTTTAATTAAAAATTAAGCTATCTTTGGAGTTGGAGCATGACAATCTCTTTCTCTAAATCCAAGCATGCCAGGTAAAGATAAATCCAAAATCTCCATATCCTATCAAAAGAGCTACCTGATATGGGACAGAAGAGAAACCAAAATTAAAGACTATTCTATTGCCCATATCTCATACTTTTTCACTTTTATTTTAACTCTTTAAATTTTTTCTTAAAGTATAAATATTAATTCAAAATTTATAAGATTGGCATTATATATATACATATATATGTATAGCTTATGAAAATGCTAACTCACAATACAAAAGAATAATTAGATCTTTAAAGGCAAGGTCAGCACCCACAGATAAATGGATCCAACATGCACTCAATATTGAATGCTATAACCATGATGATAATTGAATATATCCTAAAAATGCCATTACCCCCAAACAACAGGAAGTAATTTTAAGAGTATGACACCCACATTCCCAGCAGGTGCAGGGGGCAGATTTGGGTTGTTCACTGGGATTTGTATATTTGTAATCTTTTAGGGAGAGTTGTTTTAATTGGTAATGTTCAGGAAAATAATCTACCTTCTCATCTCAGCAAAGCCCTTTGCTGTCTGAACCTCCATCCATGTCACTAGGAGGTACTATAAGCAGGAAAGTTGCTGGTGGTAAATAAAGGACAGTGGTCCTAGCCAATTGTCTGCATATACAGGTTTATATTTCTGCAGCCCACGTTGTGAAAAGCTTATACATGTGAAACATAACTTAAAATATATGTTGACTCTAAAAATCAGAACAATACCAGCTCACCAAATATGTGATGGCAGGCATCTGTTATTCCTACACTCCAACTGATTCTGTCCATGACTTTCAACCTTTCCTTTGGCTCTGCTGAGCAAACTTGAGTTATTAGAGGCCTGTGAAGCAAGTGCATCTCTGCTGACCATCTCACAGACTCAGGAAGTGATGTGTGTTGGCAGGAAGAAAACACACATTTTTCTGACTGCAAGATGGAGTCTAAACTCCTGGCTTACTGATGGCAATAAATGATCTCTCCACCCATATAGGAGGTGGTTATCCAAATAACCCATGTCTCTCTTCATTATTACAAGTTTCTTCCAAAGTCCATGAGGGAATGAAGCCATTATTGAGAACATGAAACAAAGGGCATCATTTCAGGACTTGGATCCAACTATACCCTAAGCCAGATGGAGTCTATGAGTTTTCACTTCAGATCCCAATTCTCCCTAGCTTGTTTGCTTTATCCTCTTAAACCAATGGAGGTGGATTCCTCACTCTCAGACCATGGAATTCTGGCATATGCATTCACACATAATCTAACTTCTCTGCAACGGAAATATGTGGGTCTATATTCACACTGTGAAAATGGCCAATATCAAGATATCAAGAGTGGGTATTATTCAGTCAGTCATGCTGACTCCATAAACAAGAAACACTCCTCCATGATCCCATTTATTATCCTCATTTTTTAGTGTTTCAGAGTTTTCTGCATTGAACAATAGCCCTTTGGGAATATTGAACAAAACTATCTAGAAATCTGGCAATCAAAACATGTGATTCAGTCAGTAGGATGGGGAGAAATTTATTGACCTCTCACAACACACTATCACAGAGGCTGACTCTATCCAGGAAAGACCACGAGGACATCCAGTTGCAGAGAGGGAGGCTTGGAAGCAATGGCAGAGCAACATGAAAGCCACCCTACTTACTGCATGATTGCAAGCAGCTCGTGTAAATGATGAAATGCACTAGCCTAGGCAAACGCAATGACCTTTCCCACTAGAACATTCTCCCATTCATCCATGCTGTGTGTTCTTCCCAGCTCACAATGAAGCCATCACTTCGTGGCAGCCTCAAGTTCCACAATTCTGGGTCTTAGTGCTGACACAAGGCCATCACCATCCATCACTGCCACTCAGCAGCCTTTGGGTTGGAGTATCTTGGCTGACACTAGGTATTTTCTTTGGAGTCTCATTAGATCATACTGAAATGAGGACTTGCTTTTCATCCTGTGACTATATATGGGGGACTGCTATCCCATCATCCAAGAGACCATGAGGAAAACAAGGATTTCATGTGCACCCTTCTTCAAACCAGTAAGTAGCTCACCTACCACTATGTAACCCCCATAAAATTATCTTCAGGAGGATTTGGGGAAGAAGCAGAGGGAAGGCATTGTTTGGGTTAGGGCTCTTTAGCAATTTTGAAGACATAGATGACACTGTGTCATGTTAAGATGAGCTTATGTGGATTTTGTTGACTGCTCAGATTTTATTCTTCAAATGACTTGGCTCAGTGTATGGAGAAGGGCTTCTTCCTGGAGTGTAAGCTCAATAGTGACACAAGCAGTAGTTGCTTCACTAAGGAATGTGTTACCCCAAACTTAGTGGAGCCATGTACTAGCAGACTTACCCTGGTCTTTGAGGTGGGCTATAGTTGGCTCATGGAAGGGGTGACAAGTCACTGAAGCAAGACAACAAATTTCGGTGACAAAGCACAGAAAAAGTTTCAAGCAGAGATGGCAGCTAGTACAAATGACCTGAGCATAGAGAGCATGGTCTGGGGTCAGCTTGGGTTTCCTGGCCCTGCCTCTCCAACCCCTGACTGTGTCTCTAAATTTTCTCTTCCTCCCAACCTTGCCTGCTCATCTTCAGAGCAAGACAACTTCTTTCCTAAGTCATAATTGTATGTAGCTCTTTTTATTATTTTTGAATTCACTATACAAAGAAGTAGGTTTGCTGTGTCATTTTCCTATACTCTTAGTCCCTGTTCCTATCCCTCTCCCTCCCCTGCTGTTCTTCCCCAGCTCCACCCCTTGCTAATGGCTTCCTCCTTCCATTTATTCCATGTCATGTGTATTTTTTGCTCTTCTTTCCCCCTCTTCTCTTTCCTTGTGATTTCTTCTTCTCCTCTCATGGTCTCCTTATCATATGACGTCACTAACATTCACAACATTCATCTGTATTGGTGTGGTGGTGGGTATGTGTATTGTCCAAGACATAAAATGGGATATTTTGCCTTTCTGAATCTGGTCCCTTTTGCTAGGCACAATGACTTCCAGTTCCATTCATTTCCAGAAATGTCATGATTTCCTATTTCTTTATGACTAAATAAAAATCCTTTGTGCACTTGGCCTCATATTCTTTATCCACTCCTGAGTGTTATCATCACTGGGGTCTATTTCTTACCTGTTGTGAACAGAAGCGAATCTGTCTTTTAGGAAGGTCAAGAGTGAGAATGACAGGCATTCACTGTGGGTTCCTGTTTCCTCTTCTTACTCCTAGGAACATCTGGGAGTCAACACCAATTATGTTCCAACTTGAGAGACTTATTGTCTTGTTTTGGCTGCTCACTGCGGACCTCAGCATCACCTTTGGGTAACATTGTTACTAACCATAATAATTTGGACATTCTGAATTCTGTCTCTGGAAGTGAGTCAGTAAAGTTGCTACCAGCTAGCTCCTTCCAGTATCAACCCTAATAAACACTATACCTGAAATAGCAGAGGCTGCTTGGAGAGGGCACTGTTGTCCTTTATGGGTGGCTTACTGAGAAGTGTGCAGTTGTTCAATTCCTGTTCCTCACTTTTACTTTTAGAAGTAAACAGTACATTGACATTCTATCTTTATAGAGTCTGAGCAATATATCATAGGATAAGTTCTTCAAAATGAGATTTCAGAATTTTAAAGTTTGCATTTTAAATTATTTTAGCTGTTGACTGGTATTCCCTATGCACTTTCCCTAGAAGTCTGAGGGAGCCTGTCTCGCACACTGCTCTCCTGCTCTAACCTGAACACCTTTAACTGGTTTGCTGTTATCAGAGATGAGAGGATTTTACTCATTTCACTTTGTATTTCTCTAACCCTAACCATCCCCCTCATTTCTCATATCTTTACTGCTGTTTTACATAATTTCACTAATGTGTTATGTCAACATTGTTAGCATATTTCCTATAGTTTGACTTTTCTTATTGGTATGTGTTGACTTGCTGGATATAAAAGTCATCAGTCCACCTGGCTTAGATATTCATAAACTGAATATCATTCTGTTAACTTTACCTCTGTTCTCTGCTACAGAAGAACTGGGATAACTGACAAGGAGTTCCTATAGGAACAGAAAAGCTGCCTCCAAATCTTGTCAATGTTTAGGCAACATTCAAAGACAAAGAAAGAAGCCATCTTCTCATTTCACATGAGGGGAACCAGTGCAGAGAGAAAGGGGTACCAGGTTTAATGTTTGGTAAGATGGAACTATGTAAACAATGCTAGCTAAGGAGGACTTGTCTGCATAAATATAATACATAGACCCTGTTGGCACAGAGACAATATGATGTATTAAAATTACATCTGTTTTATTAAAACTGTTTTAAGAATTTATTTTTGTTCATGTGTGTGTATCTTTGTGTGTACATCTATATGAGCTACCCCAGAAGCCAGAGGAAGGAGTCGAGTACCCTGGGTTAGAGATGATTATGAACTGTCCAAGAGGATTCTGGGTACTGAATGCTAGTCCTCTGCAATTGCTGCAACCACTGCTAATTGTTAATCTATCTCCCCTGTCTCTACACTGAATTGGAAACACAGATTATATATTGTTATACTTGAATTCTTCACTTTAAGAAAGCTATTCAAGTCGATTTGCATATTTATAAGCATATATGTATGTATGTATATTGCTCTGTGTATAGGTATGTATGTATATGTGTATCAGTTTATATATTACAAACAGCCTTAATGGAAGATGTGAATCTTTTTGACAGAACTTAATGATACTCAATACAGGAAAGCAGTCTACAGAAACAAAGATTTGTCTTCATAGCAGTATGATTAAGAAGCTAACAATCAATGAAGGACTGAAACATCACTGTACAAATGGGACAAAACATTTATGATAGTATGATTCTAATCTAAAATATTTAGACCTATAGAAATGAAACAATTTATAGACTGTAAATAAATTAGAAGGCAAAACTGTTTTACAATCATTATTTTAAAGAGTCAGTTTAAGTCATGGGTTACTTTAAAAAGAAGGGTTTTTGTTGTTGCTATTGTATTTACTTCATTCTATTTTAATCTTTGAGTGTCTTTGTATCACAGTAGAGATATTTTCTACATAAATATCATTTGTACTTGACACATGCTGTCTGGCACATGGCATTTATTTTCTATACTTCCCAGTTACTCCCAGAGATCTTTTGTTGGAACGCTCTATACTCATGCTCCGATGTCAATTATTGCTTTCTGGGCCAGATTACAAGCTGGCATTTTGAGACCCCTAATTCCCACTTTCACTAATTGGAGCAATATTTCCCCTATATGTTTTTTCTTGGTTCTAGAGTTTTCTAGTTCTTAGTTTATTCTCTCAATTGCTTGACTACCTTTATCAGACTCACACTATAATCTCATTTCAAACAACAGATCCTCAAGCCACATCAGAAAAGTGGTATGCACAATTGCATTCAGTTGTTAGGCCAATTGATAAATTGCTTTTCTTGATAACTGATCAATATTCACACAGAGTGAGCCTGGAAACAATGCAGGAATTCTGACATGTGGGCTTATTTCCTAACCTTAGGAATCTCAGATTCCTCTTCTTAGCAATGTGGATGGTGGCAATCCTCCCTCATTGAGTTGTTCTGTAGTCTGAAAGAAACAGGGCAGGGAATCTGACTTCTCTGAAACAAGGAGGATGGGAGCTCATACCTAGTGCTAGAGGCTCTAATTGATGAATTTTTCCAGAATTCTCTCAGAACCTGGAGATAAATGTTAACTCCACGGAAGAAAACGAGTTGTGGCCATTAATTGATGACTTCATTGTAGGAGCTTTGAACTCACCAGGCTATAGATTATTGAGGATCTCTTAACCTCGGCTTGTTATGAGGTGAGTTAGTGATTCTTTGCTCCCAGAAAAGGGACTACCCAACTAGGGAGGACAGTTCAATGTCAAAGACAGGTGGATACCTCTCATCTTAATTCACACAGCTAAGGAGTTCTGAGACAAGGCTCATTAGAGCTTCAGTAATTGAGGAAGGGCTATATACCAGTTTGGAAAATTCACACATCTGGGTTTCCACAGTCTGTAATTTTAGGAGAAATGTATATGTTTCATTTGTCCCCATCTCCACCTGCATCTTGATACCTAATTCCTTTCTCTGAGAATAACACTTTCCTCCTTCAAATTTATGCAGAAGTAAAAGTTTAAGTTCCTTCAAGGGACATTAACCCGAAATCCACACCCTATTATTCCCAAGAAGTGGCTTCATGGAGTTTTGTGTCACACAGTCCTGGTTTCAAGTTATGTTTCTGCTGCCTACTGCTTCCCTTTCTCAGTCCACTGTACCTGAGACAACAGAGGCTCATCTATCTCAACAGGATGTAGTGAGGATAAAAGATTAATGAGGAGAGTTGCAAACACTGCAACGAGGAATGGCAAGAGCGTACTTGTCTGTTTTGGGTAGGATGCAAATCAATGCAGTGAGAATTGAGGACTTGCAAGCTGAACTGTCCTCTGATGGCAACAGCGTAGAGCCGATGATGCCCCTGGTTGTGGATGTTTCTGTTGGACTTTGATGATATGTCACTTGGATTTAGATGGTTCAGTGACATGGCCATTATGAGTAGGAACCTAATTCCCAGGTACTGCATGATCTCTGCGATGGGAGATGCCATTCTGTAAATCTGTCTCTTATTGGTTGTTGAAGAAAGCACTCTTGGCCAATAGGGAAGTGAGATAGGTGGGACTAGGAATAGAGCAGGAATCTGGAAAGAAGGAACACAGGGAGTCACGATGTAGCTGCCATAGCGGTAAGAATCCAGACCCTTTCTCCGAAAAGAGAAATACTTAGATTAACAATTATGGAGTAAATACTTAAGTCAGAGATAGCCAGTGAGAAATCAAGCAAACAGCTAACAGCTTCATAATTATTACAGCGTCTTGTGTGTGTTATTTGGGGACTACAATGCGGCAGAGCCTAGGCGACTGTTGGGGGATAACCAAAGTGGCTGGCAAGAAAAAGACTTCACTCAACACCTCTGCACTTTAGTTTCCTATTTTGTAAAATGTTGATCTTTGAGCTCTAAAATCCTAATCAAAAGTTATCACTGAAAACAGACTATATTGAATGTCTTTCAAAACAATGTCCTGTGCAATTCACATTGTGTGTGTGTGTGTGTGTGTGTGTGTATGTGGGTTGAATGTGTGCATTCATGTATACACAGACTCATATATGTATTCAAAATGATGGTGGAGTTCAGAGTTTAACATCATGAATATTCCTCAATATTAAGCCACATTAATGTTTGAAACATGAATTCATACATAATCTACAATGCAAAGATTTGAATCAACTAAGTGGACAAGTAAAATATAATTTTAAAGCTTTTAATTTGAAAAGAGAGATAAGAAAACAAAAATCAAGAGCCTGTTTCGGAGAATTCCCAGAGACTGAGCTGCCTATTCAGAGAGAGCAAGACCCCATTACATGTGAGATCCTAGGTTCTATTATAGGCAATGGGGGACATAGAAGTTGTATACCCCTGAACGTATAAAAACATGAGCTGTGAAATCTTCAAGTGGCTACCTGTCCTCTCTATGTTCAGAATTCTTCACTCTAAAAAGACTGAAGTAATAAATCATGACCCCAAAGATTCATAGCAGTATCTGCGACATATGGCCTCAAACTTCCTCTCTGCCCTTGTTTTCCAATACATTCTATCCATCAGACATTTTGTTTCACATGAGATAACGTCCTGATTCCTAGAAATAGAACATTTACATATTTAGAGGGACTAACTACCGGCCAGTTTGTCTTAGTTATTATTGTTACATCTTCTCTAGTGTCTAAGACACCGTAAAATAATTTGTTGTTCATTTTTACAGTTCTATATCTAGGATTTATTACAGCAATGGAATACCCAAATTAACATTCCTCCTGTATCAGATATGAATCATAGACAAACTCTAGATGGTAGAAGAAATGTTGTAAGGCATTACAGAAAGCAGATGCCAAACATGCAGGCGATACAAAAACAGGATGCTAATATCAAACCTAAAGAGCAACCGAAAGCTCTGCCTCTGACCTTAAAATGGCTGACAGATGAACCTGTCTGGGTGGGTCAATGGCCTATGACATCTGAGAAGTTAGAGGCTTTGGAGAAGTTAGGTCAGGAACAGCTAGATGCTGGACATATTGAGGGATCAACTAGTGCATGGAATTCACCTGTTTTTGTTGTCAAGAAGTCTGATAAGTGGAGAATGTTTACTGATCTTAGAGCCATCAACAAGGTAATTCAGCCTATGGGATCTCTACAACCTGGGATGCCACTACCTTCTCTAATTCCCAAGGATTGACCAATTATAGTTATGGACTTAAAAGATTGCTTCTTCAATATACCATTACAAGAAAACAACAGAGAAAAGTTCACCTTCAGAGTACCTACCTATAATAATTCCCAACTGGTACAGAGATTCCAATGGAAAGTACTGCCGCAAGGTATGTTAAATAGTCCAACTTTGTGTCAATATTTTGTTCATAAACCTCTAGAAATAAACCATAAAAAATTTCCACATTCGTTAATATATCATTATATGGATGATATATTACTGTCTGATTCAAATAAGGATACTTTAGAAAAGGTGTCTGAAGCAGTAAAGGAATCTTTGCCTCACTAGGGATTACAAATTGCCCAAGAAAAAATACAAAGAGGAGATTCTATTAACTATTAAGGTTATGAAATAGATGTTCAGAAAATTAGACAATAGAAAGTACAGATCAGAAGAGATCATTATCAGACTCTTAATGATCTTCAAAAACTATTAGGAGAAATCTCTCAATTACAGACAATTATCAGTATGGAAGGGGACGATTTAAAACACCTGAAAATGGCTTTAAAAGACCTAAACAGCACATGAGTACTATCAGCTGAGGCTGAAAAAGAATTAGAATGGGTAGAAAAGAGACTATTAGAAGCACATGTGGACCATGTGGATCGAAAGCTGGACTGTATTCTGGTTATTTTACCATCTAGAGAATACCCCTCAGGAATATTAATGCAGAGGGAAGACATCATACTAGAATGGGTATTTCTGCCACATAAACAGAATAAAAAATTGAAAACATACATAGATAAGATCTCGATTTAGCCGGGCGGTGGTGGCGCACGCCTTTAATCCCAGCACTCGGGAGGCAGAGGCAGGCGAATCTCTGTGAGTTCGAGGCCGGGCTGGAACGATAGCCCCCGAAACAATATAGAGAAACCCTGTCTCGTAAAAACCAAAAAAAAGATCTCGATTTGATATTAAAAGGTAAGTTAAGGCTTAAAAAACTGACTGGAAGGGACCCAACAGAAATTATTGTACCTTTAAC